AAGAGGATTGATATATTATTAGATATTATTTTTATTGACAATCAAGCCTATTTGATACACAAGTTTGTTCCATTATCTGGTACAAGTTCAGATACTTATGTTTGTTTTATGGCAATTGAGTACTTTATACAAATTATGATAATAATTCTTTGTCATTTTTACTTGAAAATTATGCTGGTATAAAAACTTATTTATCTTGACTTATAGCTTATGCTACACAAAAACTATTTGAATCGTGATTTACTTAATTGGATTTTCTTTAAAATTTTGTTGTGACTTCTTGGTTTTCGATCAAGCAAAAAATCCTATTCTAAAAATGGAACTTTGACTTTCAATATAGGAAAATATGGTGGATAATACCCTTAGTGTTTGAGAGTAATCAAAATGAATATGTTTTCTTGATATGATAATATTCTATCCTATTTGTCTTTTGTTATTTATAATTTAATTTTAAAGGGCATGCCAAAGGTTTTTGATCCACAGATTTTTACTTAAAGAAAACAAAGAATTAATTACAACATTAACCTAAATGTGACATCAGACTGATATCACACTAGGTAGAACTTTTAGTTCACAATTAAGATGTTCTATGCCTCTGGAAGTGCCTAAACCAGTTTTTCTGCACAGCAACCTTTTTTAACAAGATTTTTGAAGTTTTTGTGTTAAAGGTTAAAATAAAATTTCAAATAAAAAATAAAAAGTGTCCTTATCTACTGTAATGTTATATATATGAATATTAATGTTATAAGATATTGGCCATAAATTAAAACTCTTTTTTTTTTATAAAGCATTAATTCAAAATAAAATAAAATGAAAACTATGTATTTTATTTTTTTATTCTTTAATATCTATATGTAAAATCTATATGCATTATGAAAATCTTTAAAAAAAATCTAAACATGATTTTGATAGCAAAAAGAAAAAAATTATGAAACATGTTATCTTAATTTAAAAAAAAGATTAGCTAAAAGTTAAGGATATATTTCAAATAATATATTAAAGCAACAATTTACAAATAGAAAACCATAAACAAAAAAAAACAAAAAAAAATCAATATTTTGTAGAACCACCTTTTTGTAGTAAGCATTGATTTATTCACTTTGGAATTGAACTTACAAGATTTGAAGATATTTCTTTAGACACATTGTCAAGCAATTTCCTTATTTCAATTTTTATTTATTCAACATTTAAAATTTCAATATTTCCAAGATGATGATCTACCCATGACCATAAATTTTCAATACAATTTAAGTATGGGCTGTCAGCAGGCCACAATATTGAAACTTGGTTGTTTTCAAACCATTGATTGCATATTTTTGCAGTATGTCACAATGTACCATCTTGTTGATATATATTGCTGTTTTCTTCATTAAATATATCGTATGAGGGAAGAAGGCAGTTATTTAAAATTTTAATATATCTATCAGCATTAAGTGGACCTTCAAATAATCGATAGCATCCAAGTCCTGCATAATTCATTTTGTATAATTCATGCAGGCCATAATGCCTACACTGCCACTGCCTTTCTAGGTTCGTTTTAATTCGAATCAAATCTTTCTTGAGATGATTGCCGTAGCATAATACAACATTTTCGCATATCTACCTCAACATTCATTTTGTCTGAGAATATTATTTCACGACTTGCAATCAGACCAGTTTTTATGTTGATTGCATCAGGCAATCCTTGCTTTTGCTGTTTTTTTGATTAACTTACTTTTTCTGCACACATCAAAATTATATAACCATCTAAAAATTTAACACATATTTGTAACTAGTATCCATTTTCAACAACTTTAAACTTTTTATATGTTCTACTTCACCAGCTTTAGGTTTGTCAAAAACTGATAAAAAAACAAACAAACAGAAGTGTGAACATTTTTAGTATCAAATGATTTTTCAATTTATGTAGCACAATATCAAATAGAGTTATTTGATACTTTTTCCTTTAGTGAGTTTTGAGTAAAGGACAACTTTACTTTATCCATACTAAAATGTGTATTGCAGGTTTCCAGCATACTTCTATTTTTAACAAACATTAGTGGGTTCCATAAGCATATATTTGACCTAGTGTAAAAACAAATATCTTAATATTATTGCTAGAAATTGTGAGAAAAAAGGTAATTTTTGGCGTGAAGAATCAAAAGTTTTTAATTACTAAATCTCAAGTTATTTTTCAAAAAGTTGACCAAAAAACTTTTTGGAAAACATTTAACAGTGTCATTAAAAAAGACAGGTCTAAAATCTCATTCCTCATAAATGTGGTCCAGATCATTCTCGTCACAGTCTCAGAGCACAAAATTAAAAAAAGGCGGTAGGCAGTGAATTTGACTGGCTAACATAAAATTGATGGTCAATTGTCTTTTTTGGCCAGTCAACTAAATTTTTTTATTTCCATTGTGGTTTTTTTTTTTTCATATCAGTTACTAAACCTAGTAAATAAAAAAATATTTTTTACTTAAAAAATATTAATTTTGACATAATTTTAAATCAAATCGTTACTTTTTTTTAACAAAAACACACAACAAAGTTTTATAGTAAATAACTCTCTAATTGACACTTTGAAACAACGTTATCTCAAATAGGTCTCACGCACAGAGCTTTTTATTAAATTAAAAATGTAGGATAACATCAAAGTAATTTTAAATAATATTTTTGGAAATTCAACTTTTAATTGTTTATATAATATAATTACACTTTTATAAAACTATTAATTAAACATAAGAAAATTTTAATTTAAAAGATATTTGTAATTTATTACCCACTAATGCTTTGTAACGCACTTAAATCTTTAGAAAAGGTTCTTACTTTTTAAATTTTACAACAAAGTTTGAGTGGTGGTTATTTTTAAATAGCAACAAAGTGTAACTGTAGAAAATATGAAATGAAGTTTAACCTAGCCCAGTAGTTATTTTAGCACACAAAAAAAAGTTAAGTTGATATTAAATATAAATTAAATGTGTTAAAAATGAAAACGTTGTTTGTTTCTTTTTAGTTAACTCCATTTCATATTCTCTTTTTGTTTTGTTTTTGACAACTCAATAAAAAAAATGCGCTAATGATAATTTTATTTTATTTAAAAATTAAAAAAGTTTAAAAGGTTTTTTGAAAAGATTTAAGAAAAAAAAATTTTATGGAAAAATTTTCAAAAAAAAAAAAAACATTAAAAAAGAATAAAAAATAATTTAAAAAAAAAAAAAATTTTCAAGAAAAAATTAAAAATAAAATAACAGAAAATAACAATAAAATAAGAACTTTAATCATGTATATAAAAAGCAACCATTGATTTTACCATGAAGTAAAATTAAAGATAATCTAAAAATAAAAAGTTTAAAAAAAAAGAGAAGATATACCTAATGTCATATATAATAAAATTTCATAACATCTGGATGTTATGAAATTTTATTACTTTTGAAATACATCTTGGTTGTAAAAACTTATACCTTCTAACTCAGATTTGTTTAACCAATCAACCTTGACCAGAAAGAACTCATTTAGGGAGGTCAAAACAGCAATTTTAATCATTTTTAATAGTTGTTGACCATTGATCACCCATAATTTTGTATGTTACAGTCTCACAAAAGTGTTCTTCAGAACTCTTTTCTGTGTTCTTTAAAACTCTATAAACTATTTTTTGGATTCAGAATTTGTTGAAAATTTTTTGGAATTTATAGTTAGTTGGAAATTATTGGAAATTTTTTGGAATTTGGAGTTTGTTGGAAATTATTGGAAATTTTTTGGAATTTTGGAGTTGATAAATTGGACAAGAAAATTCAGATTTGTATTGATAGTCTCTGACTATCAATACAAATTTGAATTTTCTAGTTTAAGTTTTAAAAATTATAAATTTTTAGTTTTTAAAATTATAAATCTTTAATCACAGTATTGAAGTTATCCTTGATGGATAATAATTCTCTTCTTTATTATCAGCACAACTAGCTCCATCCTTGGTCACGTTTCCTAATCTATACTATTGATCTTCCTAACAATAACTGTGAATACATTCACAACATAGAACAGATTTGAACCTTGAGCTTCTAGATAGTGTACGGGGTGTATTACCACTTGTTGACTACCACTTCTTAATGAGTCCTCTACTTTATGTCTTTTAGTTTTGTTAAGAATGAATTTTTTAAAAAAAATAGTTTTATCTGTGCTGGAAATTTTTTGGTGTAGATTTCAATATAAGGAACAGTACAACACACACTTTTAAATATACTCAAACAGTAGCAGTGAATGCAAGCATTATTGATTTAATAATTTAAGCATTAAGCATAAGATTTGCATTAGGCCAGCAATAGGTTTTTTTCTTCTTTTTCTGAAAAAAAAAACCATTTAGAAAAAAGTCAGCGTTTTTGCTCATAAAATGTATATCTATATAAGCTAAAATATCAATAGTAGGTATATATTTATAGTATAGCACATATAGATAAACTTTTTTTACTGACCTAAATCCATTTTTTTTTCCTGCAAAAAGAATGAGAAAAAAAAAGAATTACTCAAAAAATTTATTGCTACCTCAACACAAACCCAACCCAATTTAAAAACATAAGAATAAATTTTGTTGTTGTAAGAGATTTCTTTATGTAGATGGGTACTCAAAAAATAAGCCTTATTTATATAAATTAAAATAAGGAAAAAAATAAATAAATCAGAAATAATATAGATATAAGTAGCAAAGAAATTATTAATGAAAATTGAAATCAGAATTAAATTATTTAAATTTACTTGGTTATTTTAATCATTAAACAATAAATAATTACATATATAATAATTATTGTCCCAAACATGATCAATAATTTTAAAATAATTAAAAATCTTTATACAAGATTAATGCGAAAAAATTTTTTTTTCTCTTAAAATTTTTATATAGTTGATTACTAAACTTATGTCTAAAGTTAAACATATTAAAAATGTTTGCAACTTTAACAAATTGCTTGCAATCTAAAAGCAACAAGAAATAATGCTTGAGAAATGTAAAAAAAAAAAAATTAAATTAATACTTTTTTTCAGTTTCCTTTTGCTGAACTATATTTTTTGAAAAAATTTCATCCTTTGTTCTCCTAAGAAAAAAAGGAGCAATAATTTCTCTCAACTTTATTGATAATTGGTTACCATAGTCTTGCTGATACGGTGTTGCACCTTTTTCTCTAGCCTAGCACAACAAAGAAAAAAAATACAGCTACAAAAGATAACATAATTTTAAGGCTGTGGAGTCGGAGTCGTAGAGTCATAACATTTTTAGGGGAGTCAGAGTTGCTAAAAAAACTCGTAACTTCAACTCCAATAGTAAAACTTCTCGGTATTGCATGCGCATGTACATAATATTCAATTAACCTTGCATTCATACTAAACCTCAAAGAACTTTTCATAAACTTAGTAAATAAAAAATTTAACTTATTGCATAATATTTTTTAAAGAATTCAGAATTTTTTCAAAGATTTTGCTTTGGAGTTAGAGTTGGAGTCATTTTCTGAAAATTTCAACAACTGGAATACTGTTGGTACTTTTTTTACGGCTCCACACCCCTGCATAGTTCTATAAACATTCTAGTAAACACATATTAATTTATTTAAATGCTGTTTTTAAAATCTCATAATTTCTGGAATAAAATCAACCAACCTTTATAATTGGATTTTCAAATTCCATTTTGAATGTTTTTTCAGTTCCAAGAAGTGTTCCTTTCTGAGTGTAATCAAAAAGTGCCCACAATTCCTAGTACAAAAAACTTATAAACATTTTAGCACAAAAAGATATGTAGTTAAATAAAATTTTTTATTAAAGTCATAAAATTAATCAATAACATCTTGACTTACACTCAAGTTATTTTGCACTGGTGTTCCAGTTAAAATATACTGATATTTAGCTGGTACCATTCTCACACATTTGCTGGTTTTGCAAGGATTTTTTATCTTATGACCTTCATCAAGTATAATATAGTCCTAACACAATAAGGTAATAGTAACAACAATAAAAAAAAGACAAAAAAGACAAAGAAAAAATTAAGTAAAAAAAAAGTCTACCCAAACAAACTCTTCTCCATTTTGATCTCGGCCAAATGATTCATAGTTTGAAACAATCATGCCTGTTAACATAAATATTCAATTTTTATTGCTGTTTTTTTTTTTACAAAAGTACATTATAGAAGTTAGAATATGATATATGGATTATAATATATAAATATTATTTAATCTTAAATTATCAAATAACAAAACTTTCATATTTGGAATGTAAGTAAATTCAAAAGGGAACTCAAAAATAATTTTTTTTTAATTTCTAAATATTGTCCTGGATGTGAAAGTAAAACATATCCTAAAAAACGATAATTAAAAAAGCGACACTTATTTGAACATGAGCGGTATTTAAAGTTTGTCGTAAACATAACGCCATAGAAAAGGGTGTTAGTGGTATGAATATGAAAGGCTATAGCAAAGAGTGTAAGTAGTATAAAAGGTCATAGTAAAGGTAAGTAGTATAAAAGGCCATATTAAAGGGTGTAAGTAGTATAAAAGGCCTTAGCAAATGGTGTAGGTAGTATAAAAAACCCTATCAAGAATTTTAAAAAGTTGAATCCCAAAAGTTTTATTATAAGTAAAATAATCTTTAGCTAACATAAATTTTTACTTTATTTTAAAGGTAATGAAATCATAAATGAAGATTAACTAAGACTGATAATGATAAAGTAGAGTTTTAAGAACAAAAAAACTAACCATAGGTGGTCAATAAAACACCATCAGACTGTTGCACTTTTTGGAGATTTCTTAAACGACTTAGTTTAGTGGATCCATGAAATGTTTTCACCCGAATACCTGGAGCCCTACATACAAATAAATAAAAAAATAAATATATACAATTATATAAATATATATAAATGTATATACATACATATATATATATATATATATATATATATATATATATATATATATATATATATATATATATATATATATATATATATATATATATATATATATAAATGTATATACATATATATATATATATATATATATATATATATATATATATATATATATATATATATATATATATATATATATATATATATATATATATATACATACATACAAATATTTATGTGTGTGTATATATATATATATACAAATATTTATGTGTGTGTGTGTGTATATATATATATATATATATATATATATATATATATATATATATATATATATACACAAATATTTATGTGTGTGTGTATGTGTGTGTATATATATACTTTTTGTTTTCACCTCCTCAAAGCTGACAAGGCAACTAAAGATGAGGAGGCTACTTAATAGCGGTTATAATCCTCTCTCAACTCTATAACTCCGAAACACGAGCCCTGACAAACAAGGCCGCTGTGCGGAGAAACAAGTTGAGCACTGTACTACCAGAGCACAAAAGTTTTTTTGTTTGGTTCTTGAATTTTTTTGCGCTTAAAAGCAAATTCGTATCATTTAAACAATTAGCTTCAATTGCAATTTTATTAATAGCTTGATTCGCCTACACACAACTTTTGAAGTTAGGAAGGGCTATTCTTTTGTTAACTCTCAAAGATTTATTAATTTTAAACCAGCTAAAATCATTAATTAAAGATGATGGTGCTAATCCAACACATATTTATCATATCCATGCCATCACCAGCGGTATTTTATTACCGTATTATTATTTTTGTTACTAGTTGAAATAAAAAAATTTTAAAAAAATTAAAGAAAAATTTGAATGACAAAATTGCCTTCTGTTGCAGTGACAACAAGGAGAAAGTCGACTTGTTCTAACTTTAGTTTACCAGCAGGTTTACCTGAAAATATCTATCCAACATACAAGCATGTCATGCTAAGTTATCTTTCCTCAGTGCAGAAAATGAGGGGAAAATGGTTGAAAATGAGATTGGAACATAAAAAATGAAAACCTCTGATTACCACTCACATCTCAGATAAAGAATCAACAAATGCTTATGCTCTAGATATGCAGTATTTACTTAAAGAGTAGAGAGATGCATTGAACTTGTAACTGAGGTTTCAAATCAAGTTTTTGGTTTGGTTAGTAAAGATGGCTTCATTTATGCATAACACGCATCACAAAAAAAAAAAATACCTGTATTTAACACAAAAAGACAGTTTCAGACAGTGACAAATGAATTAGATAATTGAATTTTGTTATAGCTAAAGTTCAAACACAGAGGAATCTCTTTCTTTCTATTAAAATTTCGATTGTATATTATGGACAATTTTAGTAATATTTATTATCTGGGTTTTGTTATTTTAGACCTGAAACCTATCAGACCTGTTAGACTGAGTTAACCAAACAGGTCGCTTATGCATACTCAGGGCTCAATTTAATTTTTTTTAAAGCACCGGACAAAATGTCCGATCAAAACTTATTTGGGTCAGACAGTGTCTGATCAAATTTTTAAAATATTATTTTTACAGTTTTATGGAACCGAGTTATGCAATCAAAATCTTTGTCATGTTATTCAGTTTATTTAACGTTTGTCTAGTGAAGTTGTAGTTTCTTTCCTTACTATTTAGAATAATTCATCGTAGATTTCTGTTTTTTAATAAAATAGTTTTAATTTAATATAGCACATTTTTTTAGATAAACTTAAAATTTCACACTGTAACTGACAAAGCTGATTTTCAGTTTTCTTTACGATTAGACAACAGCTGTTTTGATGTTTTAACAATTTATATGTAATTAAAAAAATCGCTAAGTTACGAATAACTTTTAATCATTGATCTTTTTTAAAGATTATATTTTACGCAAAGGCTTTAAATAAAATCAAATCAAAAATTATTTATAATGATCGCATTTTTTGCAAAATTGTAATGAAATAAATGCATTATGTGTAAATTAAATATTATAATGAAATAAATGCATTGTATTATCTAATTTTTTTTATTAGGTATGTATTTTTTATGAGAAATTTAAACGTTTGAAACTATTTTTCCACGTTGTTCTAAAAAGCTTTTAAAAGATTATTTTTTAAGATTATTTTCATTACTTTAATAATGAATTAAAAATTTCCATGATTCAATTGCCTTAGTTTTTTTTATTATTATTTTTTTTTGTTTCTATTTTTACAAACAATTATTTAAAAGTTTTTTTTTTTAAAACTTAAATCATAAAATGATTAAAAATTATGATATTAAAAAGACAACGTTATTTTTTGAAACAATTTTTTTTTGTGCAACTTTTTGAAAAAAATGTTTTTACGAAAAAAAAAGTATTAAATTTTTTCTTTTCTATAATAAATAAATTTGTTCATTTATTAAACAATCAGTAGAAGTAACATAATAAAAAGGAATAAAGTAACAGAAGTAGCTACACGTTTTGCGTAACTTTTATTAAACATTTTAAAAGATCAGTTTAAAAATAATTTTTTTCAAATGCAATTAAAAATGTAACAAAAAGTATTTTCTACAGAGTTTTTTTATTTTTATTTTAAAGCTAATTCATTTTCTTTTTAGTAAGGAATTGTTTTGCTTATTCTTTAGTTTTTTAAATTTTTTTCCTAGTTTAAATTTAGGTTAACGTTTCTATTTTTAGACGCATTTCTGAAACGTTTAAATCATTAAAATATCTAAACAGTCAACTTGTAAAAATCATTTAAAGGTCAAATGTCAAACATTTATTTTTAAAATTTAATTTCCATTGGTCAAAATGTAGGACTACTTTGTAAATTGAGCAGACAATCTGAGGTTTTAGCCGGATAATGTCTGAACGTTAAATTGAGCCCTTTATACCCTATCTGTTTGGGTATGCAGGGCTCAATTTATTCATGTCTTTTGGTGCAAGTAGTATTTTTTTTGGTTACAATCAATTTTACTTAAATTGAGTATAGTGGGCTAAATCAGGTCACAATACATATTTATCATAACTGTGATCTTTCTAGCTGAATAAGACCAACTGGTTACACATTCATTAAGATCTTTGGGTTGATACCTATTCTAGTTAACTTAATGTGGATTTTACCAAGATCATTTTGTTAAAATAGCAAGCTAAACAAGATCTTTAGGCATGGTCATAATTATTGATGAAAACTTACCTAAGTTTTTTGAGAAATTTTCATCATTATTTGATAAAAAGTTGCCAAAAATTTCCGAAAATTTTCATCATTAGTCATAATGCCAAATTGTTTGGTTACAATGTCATATTTCGTTTGATTTTAATGTTGTAAATAAATACTAAATAGCTTACAAATCATGAGTTAGTTTGAAAAAACTCAGATTCACTCCTCGTTAACAATAGTTCTATATCAAAAATATGTAAAAAAATTAAGTGTTTGTAATTGGTTATGAACCTTAGATAAATATAGAAATATATTTACATAAACTTAACAATATTTACAGTAATAATAAAAGAAATGGTTTATAAGATTATTTGCAATACATCAAGTTAAATAATATTAAAAAAAAAAAAAATTAACAAAATCAGAACAATAATGAGTCCAAGGTGAGAGTAAAGATGACCTACTAAAAAATAATAATTGAAACACTATACCATTTATGTAACTCTTTTTCCCAGTTTACAAGAACAGCCACTGGTGCAACAATTAAAATTTTGTGTATTAATTCTGCATCAAACATCCCAGCTAAAAATGCAATTACTTGAATTGTTTTTCCAAGGCTAAAAATTTTTTAGAATATGTTATTGAAATTTTAAAAACTTTACTAAAAGAACTTTTAAAATAAATCATTACCCCATATCATCTCCTAAAATTCCACCTTTCTTTTTTTTGTATAATTTCCAAAACCAAAGCACTCCTTCTTTTTGGTATGAATAAAGCTGGTTTGCAATGCTTTGATGGAGTAAAAAATTCTCTCCCAAATCAATCATATCGCTGTCACCCTCCTGATTTTCATCATGACTGCTATTTTCCATGTTTAGCATAAGCTCCTAAAGTAATAAGCATAATTCTTTAAACATTTCTAACACTTTTTATCCAATGAAAGAAATGTCATCTTAAGTCAAACCTTATATGCCGCCTAAATACAAACTTCAAAAATCTTGCAAAACAAAAAAGAAAACAATAAAAAGTTAAATCTGATATTGTTTGTATTTTTTTGCATTATGAAAATTAATTTCAAAACTATATACATTGTATATTTTAAAAAATTGATTAAATATATATTTTTAAAATACTTAAAAATATTTTTAAGTATTATTTAAAAATCCTCTAAACAAAAAGTCAATGGAAATTAACTGTATTAATATCCTTATTTTTATTATTATTGAACTTGACAGGTGTTTACTTTATAATCAAATTGATTTGACTGATGACAATTTTTTTAAATGATGTTATTAAAAAAAGTTACTTAAAATTCCAGGATGGAATAGCATCATCTTAAACTTTATTTATGTTTTTAGTGCAACAGAAAATCATAAGATTTGTTGTGGTTTAAACTTGTTTTATTGGTTGCTAAAAGAGTTAAAGTTTTTGTGATAATAATATAATAGTTGCCAAGTAATATTTTGAACACATTTTAATTCTTTCAAACAATTTTTTGTTTTAAAATAAATAAAACAAAAGTTAAAAGATTATAAAACAACTTTACATATCAGGTCTCAAATCACTTAATTTGATTGATTTTCACACCTTTGCTATTAGTTTTTTCTTAAAACAAAATATTTTCATGAATTGTTTTTTTATAAACTTTTTTTTTCTTTTCTTATTTAGCTTTTATTTTGGCATGTCTTAAAAATAATATTTTTGTCTAAGTATTTTATTAGGAGCCATTGATTATGCCACGCCGTTAGAGAAGGGAGGGGGTAGTAGTTTTGTGATGACTTAAACAAAACTTGCTATAAAAGTGTTATGATTTTGCAATGATGGGGGAGGGAAGTCAAAAACCATTGAAAATTGCGTGACAAATTATGGACAACCACTTAGGAGTCATAAAGTATGTCACACTAAATTTCTATTTATATCTTATATGTTGTTAACACATAATATAAGCTTTCAACTAAAAATTAATTTAACAAGAAGTTTTGAATAAAATATAATAAGTGTGATTTTTTTATGTTTTATTTAAATGCAGTAGTGGTGTAGTGGTAGAGCACTGGACTCATAAGCAAGAAGCTCTGAGTTCAATCTCCACCAAGCCCTTGGTAGTACCCTGCTCAGCTTGCCTCTCAGCACAGCGGCTTTATTCGTTGAGGTTTGTGTTTCAGAGTTATAGTTGAGACAGGGTTGTAACCACAACAAAGGCCTCCTAGACTATCGTGGTCTTCATGGCCTTGAAAAGGTGAATTAAAATTAAAAAAGAAGCGATATCAAGATCAAAGTATTTTCTATATAAACGCAAGTTGTTTTTAAGAATTTTATTTTAAAAGTAATCTATTTGAACAATAGAATTTTAGTCTTCTAAAATTCTATTATTCAAATAACTTTGCAAATGAAATTTAAAATTGAAAAAAAATTGGAAAAATTTAAAAGAATTTAAACCCTCAATAATTATAACTTTAATTCAGCGGCCTCCTTAATACCAAGTCTTTAATAGCCGGCAATTGCTGCTAAAAGTTAAATATATATCTAGCTACAGTAACAATATCAGATTTAGAACATAGTGCAAGTGAGGAAGAAATTTTTAATTAAATTGTAAATGTTTTAAATAGTTAATTATATTTTGTTTCTTGAAAATAGTTTTAAAAGTAGAAACATTCTATTGCAAACATTAAACCAGTGATTGCAAAAGTTAAAATAAAAATTAAATTATGAAATTATTTTACTTCTGTTCAAAGAAATTTTTTTCCCAAAAAATAATTTAGGCATATTCTTCATCTTAAGGAAATATAAATTGGTTTACTAAACCAATTTTTTTTTTGCACTTTTTATTGCATAACAATTTGAATAAATGAACTTTAAAGCCATATGAATAAAAAACTTAAATTCACTTAAATTTAGATAGTACGCTAAATCAAGAAACAATAAATTATAAAAAATGTGGTATCTAATGTTTTTTTGCTTTGATCTTACTCGTATAGTCCATAGATGATAGACTTGTATGGTCTATAGGCATGTTTTTGGGCAAATAACATGTGATAACTAAAAATCTGGAAAAAGTTTGAGTAAATATTAAAATATGAAGGAATAATTTAATATACTTTCAATCACTTCTATTTTGTTAAAAATTTAATTCTTAAAATGCATTATTAAAAAAAACTTATTATCAATAATTATAAATGAAAAAAAAGAGTTGTAATGAAGACTCCCTTAGAAAATGAGTGTACACATTTTTGGATTTGCATCCAGATAAGAATAAAAGCTTTATAGCAAATCATTTTTAAATGGAGAACATACCAAAATCTACTATTTATAATATGCTTCAAAGAAAGGAGAATAACATAGGACCAGGAAGAAAAGTTGGAAGTGGTCGCAAAGCAAAAAGGATGTCAAATCAAAATAGAAGTAACATCATTAATTCATCCAATTTTCTTTTTAGTTTTAGCAATTGATTTTATTGTTTAAAATATATTACATGTATTCTAGTGATGTACTTATTGCACATTTTTTGGCTGATGCCAACACTGATGCACAAATAAAGGCTGATACTGATTAATTAACTGATAATTAAAAAAATAATTGCTAAAATATTTTAGGCTAGGCCAGGATCAGGATCATAATGATGACCCTGATACTGGTAATATGTAATCCAGTATAAACTTTACATGTCCCACTGCCTGTAGGAATTGCTTCCTAGAGATGGTGGCTTGATAAAAATACTCCTCTTGGACGAATGTTAAAACTTGACTACTATCTTGTAAAAAGCCTCCTAGGGGAAGTCTTAGAAAGGTTAGCAAAAAACTTCTGTTGACCAGATTTGCCGACCATCATCATCAAGAAAGAATATGGTACTACTTTAAAATCCCTCCCTCCTTCACACACACACACACACACACACACACACACACACACACACACACACACACACACACACACACACACACACACACACACTCATTTTATTCCTAGAATTACCTGTGCTTAGAGTGTTATGCACTATCTACAATCGAGTCTCTACAAATTCAAATTTCTCTACAAATTAAAAATTTAACCATACTAGCTTGAAATATTGAAAGTAAAAAATCATCTCTAAATTATTTTATTTGTGGTATTTAAAGTAACTTTTCATCTGTTGAATCTTGCAAAATTTATCTAATCTAAATTTTACCTAATCGCTTATGAGATACCATAAGCAGGCTTTCTCAGAAGATGCCTTGAATGACCACGCATATATATTTTTTTGTTCATAACTTGGACACAATTTTTTTTGCATATATTAAAAATGACTCATGTTAAAAACGCGCTGAAAAAATCAAACTAATTAGTCATCTTATTGTTGTTGTTTTTTATTAATAATAATTTATTATTAAAGTTATTAATGAGAAAATAAAAACATTAAGATAACATATATATGGGCAATTCCATTTTTAACTTACGTTACATGCGCAACAACTTTATCAAATATTTGCTTATTTAAACTTTAAATTATACTTTCAGCTATTTTGTATGAAAGCTGTTAGTCTAATGAATAAAATAAGCTAAAAAGTTTGGCCAAAAGAGTTTGGCCAAAAGAGAGCGAACTTATTACTGAAAATGCCACTTCCACTTATGTTACACGGAAAACAAGGTAAAAAAATTGCTTCACCTTTTAGGTCTGATTTCTGTGAATCAGTAAAGCAGTTTTTATTAGAAACTTTCACAAAATGCTGAGAATTCTATACCAATTTAAAAATTTTATAAAAACATATCAGAGTTGACCGGCTAAGGAAAAAAACTTATTTTTTTGATACTGTATACATTCTTGCCAGATATTTTGCGATATGCAGTAGCCAGAAATATATAATAAAGAAGCCAAAAATGGCCAAATTCTCCGCAAAATGAAAATGTAAATCTTATTGGCTTAAATAAGACAATTGGATAAATTTTGCACCAATCATTTTTCATAGTTATGAAATATTGAGACAAGTCAAACTATTAACTTGACTTTTCTCAATGTTTCTTTTTAATTATAACATACTATTAAAGAATGTGTTAATAAGATGTATAATACAATAGTAAATTATAAACTATTTAATAGCAAACAATGGATATTTTATATTTTTTATCAAAAACTTAAATCTATAAAAATAGGATTTATTTAATTTAATATATATATATGTTATATATATATATATATATATATATATATATATATATATATATATATATATATATATATATATATATATATATATATATATATATATATACACTTTAGTCATATAAAAAAGTTTCTTAAACTATAATAGCACATATTTACAGACGAAACATTTAAGACGAAAGAAATTTATTTTTTGCTCCATTTTATAACATTTATTTATATAGCTTGAATAACCCCTTAAAATAAAGTAATGCTTTTTTAAAAAATGAAAGTTTTTTCAATTGTAAGCAAATGTTTTAAATAAAGATACTCAATAAAAATTTTATTTTTATTTTGATTGACACAAGTGTACAATATTAGATTAATCAGCATTTAAAAAAATTATTTGTTTTTTTTTTAACAGACTTAGTGGTTTAAAATTATTTTATAGGGAATAAAGGCCTAAAATTATTTATTTTCCTTGTGTAACCTTTCTTATCCCCTAACCAATTACACTAACAAAAGCAAGTCCATAAGTTAATTAGCTTGTGTCGCGACTGTTATAATAATATTATTTTAATTTTTGTTTTAGGTACCCCTAGAAGACCTATTTTTTGTTTTAGGTATCTAAATATCTGAGCTTGAAAAGGATCTCACTTCTGCTACAGCATGGGGCTCACAGTGGCTGGTGAACTTTAATTCAGATAAAACTCAATTTTATTCGACCAATCGTTATCGTAATAATTTAGATCTTCCTATATTTATGAATGGTAA